TGTCCACTGTTCTAGCTACCACCACTGCAGTCACTACTTCAGCCTATGCGCCGCTGCTGCTGACTGACACTGGCCTACCATGGCCACTTTCACTGTCCTACGTCAGCGGCAACCGAGTGTGCAGGAGTCTCCCTCGCCGCTGCAGCTTCCCGAGTGGGCTATCTAGTGGGCCAGCCCCGGTAAAGGAGCTAGCCGTGCTCGTTGGCAGAAGCCGCTTTCGCCACAGTAGCGTCGTGAGTAGGCTGTCCGGTGGGGCAGCCCCGGTGGTGGAGCCTGGGGTGCTACTACTGGAGGTACCTGTTAGTCTACTCCTGCTGGTAGTGCCGCTGGTAGACACGGAGGTTCTGGGGGTGGAGAGCAGCAGCAGCAGCGTCCATCGAAGACTCTCTCCCCGCAGCAGCTTCGTGAGTGGGCTGTCCGGTGGGGCAGCCCCAATTGCGGAGGGTTTCGAGTACTCGTACTGGGAGTTTAGAGGCACCTGGAGCCATAGAGGCTACTAGTCTTGGTGCTTTTGACTCAGCTAGCACAGGTACAGAGCCTGAGGAGGCCTTGCACACTTTTACTCTCAACTCAGGCGCGTCTTGTTGCTTCTTCCGCAACAACACTACAGTCACACCGCTCACAGTCCCTGTCCCTGTCACAGTGGCCGACCCCTTCGGGAGCCCAGTAGTCCCGCGTGGCGCCACTGTTCTCCCTTGTCTGGCGGCCCCATCCGGCCTCCTCATAGGTCTCCACCTCCCCTTGTTCGCTAAGAGCTTGGTGGCTACCTCTGTCATCTAGGACCAGTGGGTCACTGTCACCGAGCATGGAGGCGAGCTAGTGGCCATCTGTACTGACTCGCGCACTGGTGAGCACCTCCCCACGTTCACTTAGAGGCTTGGGTCTGGCTTGTACACACTGGCCACTTAGTCTGCAATGGTAGTTGAGTCAGGTTAGGTAGCTGCGATGGTTGAGGTCGTTCCGTCTTGTTTGTGTCGTCTCCTCACGCACCAGACTCTCCTTTGGCACCACCGTCTTGGCCACCCCTCCTTGCCCCGCCTTCATGGCATGCACTCCCATCTCCTTGTGTCTAATCTCCCCAGGTCCCTGCCCTCGCTTCCGAGGTCGCTTGCACCGGCCTCCCTTCCCTGCGTCGAAGGGCGGCATCGCACCACTCCCCACTCCTCCTCGTTTCCTCCTACCACAGCTCCTCTGCAGACCCTGCATATGGACGTGTGGGGCCCCGCCCGCGTCACTAGATAGGGTGGCGAGCGCTACTTTTTGCTGGTTGTAGACGACTACACGTGCTACACCATGATCTTCCCCTTGAAGAGCAAGGTTGATGTCCGCGGAGTCTTGATCCGCTGGATCCGCGCTGTCCGTATCCAGCTTAGCGCTCGATTCCGTCATGACCTCCTAGTCCTGCGACTGCACTCTGATCACCTGGGTACAACACGAGGCTATATATAAGCTGGACACAAGGCCTAGTAATCAGGTGTTACGCGAAGGTTCCGCGGGTCGCGCGTCCTGAACAGATCCTTCCCGAATTCGGTAGAAGGCAATTCGGTGGCAACCGAAAAGCCCAGAATTCGGTGCACGCAACCTAGCTTGGTGCTAAAACTAAAATATAATATAGGAAAGCACCTAGCCTAGGAAATCAAGCAATTCATGCATGCATATAATTATCCTATGCTAGAAATAGCATACTAAAGTAAAGGCAAGCAAGCATAGCTGGCATAAGCCATCGTACTCTCACACACGTGCTCCTTCATGTTCTTGGAGTGGATGAGAATGTCGTCCAAGTGGTCGTAAGATGTGATTCATCTCCACCTGAAACGTTGCTGTAGCGTTGCAGAGTCCGAACGGCAGCACCAAGTATTCGTAGGAGCCGTATCGGGTTCGGAACACCGTCTTGTGGATCGAGTTGTCTGCCATCTTGATCTGCCGGTAACTCGACCGTAGGTCCAGCTTCGAAAAGACTGTTACACTACGCAG